TTTGTTAAAGTATATTCATGTGAACATGTATGAGGAATATTAATATTAAATTTGAATTCTTATGAGGTTAATACCAGGTTATTTTCATAAATACTCTCGAACTAAAAGTTATTACAAACATACAAACAAATAAATGTTCAATTTAATAATAAACATATCTTAAGTGAAACAGGAAAGTTATATGTTATTTTTTTATTTATGCATAATCTAGAGCTCATCCTACTTCAAGCTGACCAGTCCTTGCTTTATCTCCTTAATGCCAAATGCCAGGTAGGGCAACAATAAGTACCACCTTTTAACGTCTTTTGGTATGGCCATTGGGGATTGAACCACCGACCGACTTCCTGGGCAGATACTCTCTCACAACATCAAATATTGACTACCCAAAGAAAACTATCAGTACCCCAAATTACCAATATCAAAGCATGGGAGTGAATGCACAGTGGTTCTCAGTATCATATGGAGCCCTGGTACCTCATCCTTCTGCATCACCAGTGGAACTGAGACATGGGGATCAACTCTGCCGGAACAGGAGTAGGATCAGCTCCGTAGCATCCCTTAATTGGATCTGGATGTCTGGCTCTCTGACATGGATGACTTGGGTGTCGACTTGCATCGTTGGAACAATCAGGGATTTGTCTGGATTCCAAACTATAAGTGCCCTTGGCAGGAAAATTGGGAAAAGAAATATCCATTTTTTCAAAATTGGGATTTTGTTGAAGTTTTATATTCTCAGTATTAAATTGCATTGAATGTAATCAATGAGCAAAGTTTTTCGGTCCTCTTAATTTATTGGTTCTGTGAACAGTGATATACAAATCACCTCTACAAAGTCAACACTGGATAGAATTCGCCATAACTATAAGTACATGATGTGGGAAAATTGCTCAACAATAATCCAGCTATATGATGTCACTCTGTAAACAATCGAGTCTGGACCAGACAATCCAGTCATGAATATCATGAGCATCAATCTACGCAATTAGGATACAATGACATGCATCAACCAAGCCAGCAAGCCTGACCACCTGATCCTGACAGTAGCCTCTTACGACAAGCGCCATCACATGAAAAGGTGTGGGAACAAAATATGTCATACTGTCCTATGATAATAACTTATGTTTTCAGTTACTGGTTTGCTGGCTTAAACTTCATTATTTGCAAAACATTGTGATAACTGATAAAGCTGGAATATTTCTGCGTCAAACAACATTAAATCACCAAAGTAATATTACATATTGCCTATAATTGTACTGTATAATATATTATATATCACATATTATAATATGTACTACATTGTACTATCAATTGAAAAGTTCTGTTACTTAGTAAGGGGAAAAGTTCCGAATACAATGGTCATTTAATAAATTCAGAGTACTGTTGACCTTTTCCTGGTCCACAGGTCGACCTATCAACATGATCAATCATTGTGCTGTGGGTACAGTTAAATGTGTTCAAACAAGGGGTAATGGTCATAAAGTGATGTTCCAACGAGTGACTTGACCACAATCATCATGGACAGCAACAGCTGGGGAGTGGTCATTATGTGCAGTGACCTGTCCTTATTAACATATTCATCACAATTTTAACATTAAAATAGAAACAGTAGTGTTTCCCCAGTACCTTCAAAAGGGTATCCAACTTGATGTTGCCATGGTTAATAGAACATGTAGATATAATTCATGAATAATATCATCAGTGTTTGAAATTAATAATGAATATAATAAATAATTCATTTTCGTCATGTGATGCCCATGAAATCTTTTCAAAAATGGATTTTGAAAAGGTCTGATATCAATAAACCAGTTTTCAACACAAATAAACATTAATAATGTAAAACACAACTGTAAAAATCATGTATGGCAGAAAGAAGTCAGTTGATCTCATGTGAAGGGTAATGGATAAAGGGTTCTCCACACTTAAACACAACAGCAATCCTTGAAAAACGTCTTAATTTTGAACCACAGTCAGTAAAACAAGTGTGTCTTGGAGGAGAGGTATCTCACACCGTGGTGAACGGTTAACGATTAAGGGGTTCCTTGATTCAAATACTACATCAGCAAACCAGAAGCGTTCCCCGAACTGATGTGAAACACTGGCTGGGAAAATGAACTGATATCTTGGAGAGAAGTATATCTTGGAGAGAAGTATATCTTAGTGAGAGGTATATCTTGGAGAGAAGTATATCTTGGAGAGAAGTATATCTTAGTGAGAGGTATATCTTGGAGAGAAGTATATCTTAGTGAGAGGTATATCTAGGTGAGAGGTATATCTTGGTGAGAGGTATATCTTGGAGAGAAGTATATCTTGGTGAGAGGTATATCTTGGTGAGAGGTATATCTTGGAGAGAAGTATATCTTGGTGAGAGGTATATCTAGGTGAGAGGTATATCTTGGTGAGAGGTATATCTTGGTGAGAGGTATATCTTGGTGAGAAGTATATCTTAGTGAGAGGTATATCTAGGTGAGAGGTATATCTTGGTGAGAGGTATATCTTGGAGAGAAGTATATCTTAGTGAGAGGTATATCTTAGTGAGAGGTATATCTAGGTGAGAGGTATATCTTGGAGAGAGCTAGATCATGGAGAGAGCTAGATCATGGAGAGAGGTAGATCTTGGAGCGAGGTACCATATTCGACGTAATAAGCACCCAGGGCGCTCTCAAAATTAGAAAAAGGGGGCCCTTATTAGAATATGATTTTGGTAAAAAAGTTGAAAGATCGTGAATTTCATGGTTTATGCTGACAGCCTGAAATGATACAAGTATGTGCGTATTATGCACGACAGATATATTTTTCCAGATTTTAATTGCCCCTTATTATAGGTGCATATCACATGAGTGTGTATTATACATGAATAAATAAGTCTTGTGAACATTGATCAATCACAGGGGTGCTAATTGGGATTGTTCAATAACCAATATATTAGCAAATATCACTGTGGGCGCTTATTAGAGCGAGGCGCTTATTACGTCGAATACGGTATATATCTTATGGTGGTGAGTGGACGTATCAGGGTACTTGCAGTCTGGTTCATGTTGTACTGCATATTTTCCCTTGACTCTTCAAACTGGGGGTCATAATGCCTCCCTTGATGTGCTGCAAGGAGTTCCAGGTCTAAGGGGTTCATTTTATGACTTTTCCAGCATTAGACAAAGCTGATATCAGTTGTATTTTATATGACTGATTCAAATTTTAATATGTCGACAGTATTATGTAATTAAGTTACTGATTTTGAAAGACTGAATGATCTGAATCACGATTGAGGCCATGGAGAAATTAGGTTGTGTATATTTTCTATGTCAAATATGCATGTTTTCACAGCAGGGCAAACTCTGGTAATGATAAATTTTGTGTCAATATTTTACGCAACATGATACCTAAAATGGTGAGGTTTATCATCCAGAAGATATATATTCCAGGAAATACCAAAAACACGTTTTCCTATAATTTCACACAAAAAGTATGCAAAAAACACGAGAAAATATGGTTATTTTCAGATAGTTTTAGGAGTCACCTTGAAATATGCTTGTACCGTTTTGTAATGATATCACCATTCACTGAATGTTCCATGATCATAACACCACCAATGTGTCACTGCACGTGTCAGTTAGGGCTGGGAAGGGTAACTCGGGTACTCGGGTCGGGTGGGTCCTGAGTAGAACCTGGGTACCCACAGGACTACCCGGACCCTTGGTTAGTCACATGATATATTGTTTATTGACAAAAACTCACTATAGCTCTGTGGTTACACTTCTAGTCCCTAATGTTCACATTGCTTTCTAAGGATTCACACATTCCTTTTGACTTGTATATGTTTGAGTAAAGATAAAGCTTGAGTCTACTTCATGTGTGCATGCTCTGATCATTTGATACATGTTTCTAAATAGTTCTTGCCAGGGCTGCAGTAAAACAATTTCAAATCAGACATTTTGTTCCCTACTCTTGAGACATACAGCGGATACCTGGGTAGGGTCGGGTACCCGGGTAGTAAATTTGGACTCGTCCCAGCCCTAGTGTCAGTTTTGGCTAAGTTGTACAATATGAAGCAAAACTGAGACAACATCTCTATAATCAAGGCAATCATTGTTTGACTGATTGATATAACATTTTGAGTTCCCTCACATACAAGTGAGGTTTGTATCTTTGAAAATCGTTGCTAAGATATGTCACATTAAGATGCAGAAATTCTGCTGCTAAATAACCCAGTCCTACACAATTAAATCCTGAAATGAGAGGGTCAGTCCAGCACCCTTTTATTGGCTGGAAGGGGGAAAGAATACTCCTTTCCTTTATTTTAAGTATTGATCTATGTGTTTATTCTGTTATTGTTGAAGAGTATCTTTAAATAAAACATATCCCCCTAAATAATTCGGTAATTATAATTTATTTCAAATTTAAACATAATTTGGAAGGACGGCAAAACATCATTAACTTGTGTAATATTTTGTGTGAAGCATCCCTGGCAGTTCGTTACTTCAGCGATATACAGTAAGTGACTTGCACCACCTGTAAGCATTCATAATTAAAAAAAATACAGTGATAACAAAATCTAAATTATTTTTTAAATCAGTTTCTTATAACCCACTTATCACAAAAACACTAACGTTTTCTTGTAAAAATTAATTCCATCAATGTCAGGATATAGATCTACCAATTCATAGATCACAAAACCTTCAATGTATAGGCCTATGATTCATTTGGACTAGATCTAATAAATTAATATCACTCTATCTTACAAAATACAGAATTAACACCAAAACATCGAGTAAACAGTATGTTAACGAATGCGTTTGTCTAGACGCGGCATTAGCCAAACACCACCAGAAGTCGCTTAATAGAATATCATTCATTATCAGTTGTCATTCAAATGGTATACGCACGAAGAATAGATCGAATGTGTTCCCACCGTTCTTCGCGCTGGATTTTCGAATCTAAAATGAAGCTTTGAATTCTAGACATTTAGTACATATGCTAAACGTTTCTTACAAACGCACACTTACCTTCCGTTAAAACCAAGCATGTGAGAAACAGTAAAATAAGCTCCATCGCTTCTCTCTAAAATCCACCTGCCATTATATCCAGTGTCATCTGCTATTCCTTGACTCACTGCGCATGCGTACGGCGATGTCAACAATGTTGGTGCTTCCCACGTCGCCTTGTCTATTTCAGTCGTTCGCTGTTCAATGTTCTTGAGGCATGGAGAAGAAATGCACTCGGCTGGATTAACGAGCTGCGGCTATTTAATCTGAAAGGCGTGTTGGTTTAGGAATGTGTTCCTTTCAGAATCAGATTTTTTTTTCTTTTGAAAGGACGAAGGCGTTCAAATATGTCAGCTTATAAATATACGATAAATATACTGACATATATATGATACATTTGTCTTGTGAACGTTATGGTAAATTAAACAGTTTAACCATTTACCATTGTTGTTTTTTAACGATAGGTTAAAAACTGCAAATATTGACATGACGAAAACATAAATTGCATTTATTAGAAATCTCATCATTAGTCTTATTTTGTCTTCAAAATGGTCAATGCATGATGCATTTATACATGGTGAATATTATCGACCCATGCTATTTTGGTGAGGCAATGGCCGCTGTTATTAGTGAACGGTACTATTGACTGCAAGGACGAATAATTGTGAGGCCCCACAGGACTCTAGCTGCTCGAGCAGACTTCAACAGGCGTCTAGCGTGTAAATAACAAACAAGAACCTTGTGTGAAGTTCGGGTTAGAATAGGCCCCCATGAACAAACTGTACGTGTTGGTTGTAAGAGGCGACTATAAGTGGATTGGGTTGTCAGACTCAGTGTCTTGTTGACAGTGTCTCATCATGCATACCTTTCAAAAAGACACGGATCGATCGTTGCTCACAACATCAATCACTGGATCGTCTGGTCCAGACGCGATTACTCAAAGACCGCCGTCATATACCTGCATTGCCGAGTGAGGCGTTAAGCAACAATCAAACAAAACAAAATCTGTTTCGGTTGCGATTGGATAGTGCATGTTCAACAATACGTACAGTATTCGAAATAAACATATATTCTTCTCTACTTAAAACCCCTTGCCCTTAATTAAAATAATACTTTAAAATGTCCATACGTATTGGTCTAAAGAATTTATTATTTTCATATCGTGTTAGGGAGTCCATTGGATTTATCAACCCACTGGCCGTAAAGAATCATTCGGAAGTTTGACCTATTGCCACGAAGTGGAACAGTGGTCTTTTATGGGCGCACACTTGAAAACCTTTCACGAACCTTTCTGTATGTTATAATTATGACATGCTGGTTTCCTGTGCTCGAGCTGTATGATGTATGATGTCCCTTGGGCACGCCAGAAACCTATGATTATGGGTTCAAATCCCGGTTCGCCCCGATTATGTTTCTAGGTAAGTCCGCACCATACCCGTGCTCTTGATTTTCATCGAAGTGGTAAACGTTTGAGACCAGCATGACTTGGGGCTTTCCTCCCACATTAAGCTGACACGCCGTGATATAACTGGAATAATGTAAAAAGCTGCGTTAAACCCAACTCACTCACTGACACTCATTCACTCACTTACAGCACGACGAGGTTGCTCGAGACCTACTCTGGCCGGACTCCAGCGGGGTCAGTTTTCGTGATGACCTCAGTAAATCAGCTGTTTGTTTAAGAAATATAAACCTATAACAACACTGTTTTGTGATCACAATATGTTATATTATATGTCTACTAGAAGATGTTGTCAGACGAACAGTATTCGTTGTTGTCACATTGACAGCTCACTCCAAGTATTTAGGTATTGTAAACATAAGTTGACTTTCCATAAGTGGTTGTTCCTTGTGTTCGGTAACTGTAACACACATACCAGTATCCCTTTCAAAATTTGAGTTGTATATATAATTGCATAAATGGGGTTTAAGCCTAGGGCTGGGACGGGCAACTCGGGTACTCGGGTCAGGTGGGTCCTGAGTAGTACCCGGGTACCCTCATAGCTACCCGGACCCGTGGTTAGTCGCTAATGTTCCCATTTCTTTATGATGATGATGCACACATTCCTTTTGACTTGTATATGTTTGAGTAAAGATAAAGCTTCAGTCAACTTCAGTGTACGCATGATTCGATCGTTTCATGAGAGACCATATAAATTATGGTCTCTGGTTTCATACATGTATCTAAACAGCCAGAGCTACAGTTAAACTATTCCCAATTAGACTTTGTGTTCCCAACTCTTGTGACCTACAATGGGAACCCGGGTAGGGTCGGGTAATAGGGGGCTTGGTACCCGGGTAGTAAATTTATTTGGACTTGTTCCAGCCCTATTTAAGACAACGGAGACCTAGCTGTAACTATGGTATCTGTTGAAGCAATGTCAGAAAGCCGAAGGACTATTGCTAAGTGCACCGTTAATCAAATACTCAAAACAAACAGAAGACAGGAATATGATTATCACAATGTCTTTTACCATTTATTGACGCTTTACCTTGACTTGGGCCGAGGTTTATTCTAAACGTCTGATGATTCTAGTCTATTTGATGTAAGCATACACGTGCACCCGATCTCCGTCTCCCGTAACACGTACCGCGGCCAGGGTATACCGTATTGTGTTACACGCTTCCCAGCCTCATATATCGTCTTTACGGGAGTAGGGTGCATTAAAAATGCACGACGGCAACTTTATGAATACGGATTTGTATTTTTTACGCCGGGTGCTGTACGATCACTGGCACTGAGTCTGTATACTTGAGCCGTCCATGCACAGACTACCCGCGGAGACTGTCCGCGGCGCTGACACTTAAGACCGTCAAGATATATCTTTCCGACTCCAGCACAAAGCTTTTTTAATATCATCCGTTAACGTGTTAATAAGCTGCACGTAATATATCCCCTTGAACCTTGAGCTCTTTCACTGAACGTTCACGTGCTCCCTCGTTTTGGTTTAAAATACTTAAACAATGGTTGACTAATTTGTTACTTATATTTGATATCCTCCCTTTAAATGGTTTATACATGTAAGCAATCAACTCATAAAATCTGTTATCCATGTCTCATGTCTTCATGTTTTTCCAACTTTTAAATGCCTGAGCACTGAACACATCATCATATTTCACCGTTTTATATTCGTGATACCATATTACATAATAATTAATTATAATTATGTTGCGTGCGTGCGTGCGTGCGTGCGTGCGTGCGTGCGTGCGTGCGTGTGTGTGTGTGTGTGTGTGCGTGCGCGCGCGCGCTTGTAGTAGTCCTCGTCCAAGATAATGTTAGCCCACTAAGATACCATGTTTAACATGAATACCCCACTGAGACACAGTATACTGACTCCGAGCCGACCAGTCCTTATTTTAGCGCCTTAATGCCGAGCGCTGGGGATTAGTCCAGTAATTAAAGGTTTATTTTTCATGAAGGTTCAACAAAATTGACGGAAAAGGTTTTTTAATGCATTTCACTGCCTTGATAGGTCCACTTTAAAAAAAAATAGTTTACCAAAATTTGACTTGGGGAAACACCCCAAATAGGTCAAATCCAAGATGGCCGCCATCAATACAAACGAAAATCGAAAAAGTAAAAAAAAAAAGAATCAATCAAAATCTAAACATGGATGATGACTCTATTTATAATCAACTTCATAGGACCAAGACAGGGGAATATATACTTAACAATTTTGAAGTGAAATCTTACACAGAAATAAATTACGGCTGCTCGAAAAGTGAAAGAAATGCAATTGTTCCATATCGACTACAAAATACTTAACACAGGCTTATAAAGAGGGAATAACCCTGCAATACTACAGTTTACAAGTCAAACTTACTACCAATTTAAATGTCTAAAGTTCAAGACAGTCTTTATATTATCAGTAATGTCAGAAAAGTCATGACTTGGTCCATTTGAAAATGTCATCCCTTTGCATTGTCCACATGCTGAGGTATATTGTAGACCAAAAAAATTCTGCATGAGCATGTGTTTTCATCACACTTTCCAGCGCAATTGAATCTGATTATTTTCAACAGAAATTTAGGAGTGACAGCTTGGTGCCTTGTGATTGGTTTCAATATAGTGCCCTTGTTGCCCTTATGAAGCGTCCAGCCCCATTCTGTCGCATCCATATTGTTACCTAGCCAGGTCTGCACTTGGAGTCAGACTCGTTGGATGGGCAATCTGGCAGCATCTGATGTCGGTGGAAGGTGTCGAAGGGGTAGGTAATTTGAGCTTGATACATACCTTCTCAGTGAATTTCGTCACAGTGTCACACGTTCGAAATTCAAATCCAAGCCAGGCATACAGCCGTAGAGGATTGCAAGTGCCTGATTACCAGCCTGCTCGATTTCTGCATGGTTTCCACCTGTCACCATGAAAACCTTTGAATATTCCCGAGACCATCCCTATGCCATATGGCCTCGATGTTGTGTCACTCCCTGACAATGCATGTACAAAGAGCAAAGAATGTCTGAGATTAGGGTCAAGGATCATCTATAGGATGAAGATGTCAATGATCTTTGTACTTGTGTGAAGATAGATGGCCTCATGGTATCGCGTCTGAAGTGATATTGCATCAGGATGAGAAGGTCGGTGTCATTCCCTACCACTACCACAGTCTGTGTTTGAGCCAATGTACAGGCAGACATTTCAATGTCATAGTCAGCATCTCCGGATGAGTGTTTAATCTGATGTTTAGTCACTTGGTGTCATGTTGATAATCGACAAGAATATCTCAGAGCTCTTCCTGGGGTATATAATGTCAGAATGGAGCAACTGCATGCAACCAGAACACAGTGGTCGACACACACGTGCACAGAAGTGGAGCACTCCACAAACTATCTAGTTTGCTATTCTTTTCATCAAGACAGAAGTCACCAATTGGTGGATAGATAATGTTCGCCAGCACTGCCTTTGGATTTCTTTGTGAGAATAGTTTGACACTGTTGATTTTTTAACATCATCCAAGTCCACCTTAACTCTTGGTACCCTCCGTTTCAACATCTCGCCCATGGCATGGATTGAGCCAGTGCCATCAAACCTTTTGCTGGCATGATCTATATAACCAGCCTGGTATTGCACGAATGTATCTGCAATGTCACTGATTAGGTGAACACCATGAGTGGTCACCGA